AAAAGATGGTCATCCTGAATCAGTAAACTCTGGCACTTGAGCCAGGATGGAATTCTAATCATTTTCAGATAAAACAAAATTTCTCTACAGGGGTTAAGCAAAACATTCTTAAGACAGAGGTTCAATAGTGCATTATATATAAAAATGATAGCAAAAGGCTGACATTTTTTGTAAATAATCTGTGTGTGAAAACTACAGCATCTACTGCTATTTCTACAAATAATATTTGTACAAATATTCTAAATCGCATGTTTAAAAAAAACTTTTTTTCCAACTGAATGTGAATTTCAAATAGAAATCTGTCCATCCATCTACCTGTCCTTCTCTCTATATGTAGGTATTAACATACATTAATGTGTACATAAATATATACAAACATATGAACTACCAGATATGTTATTTCTTAACATTTCATATAAACCATATTGTGTTAGACTCGTAAATTAGTGGAGCTTGAGGGCACCTTAGAAATGCCAAGTCAAATATTCTCATTTAAAACTGAGGAAACTGAGACCAGAAAAATTAAGAATCCTGGCTATCTGTAGTAAGAAAAAATAAGAACTCAGGGCCCCTGACTGTCATTGCTCCACTTCGCTATTCTCACTTCTTCAGAAGTAATAAGCATGGGTTCATTTAAATTGGGCTAAGAAAAAGTTATTATAAGTTCCTTAATCCAAAGTCTTTTAGTGAACGTACTTCTTGTCCTCACCCCCTGATAAAATGAAGGTCACCTTATGTATACTTGACACGTACATAGGTCACTCACCAGGGCAGATTTCCCAGAGTCTTACAGTAACCCACCCTCAAAGTGATGACACTTTAGCAAGCACAACTATGCTGTGTTCTGTGTGTCATTGGCTTTGTGATCTTACAGTGACATCCTGGAACTGAAGCCGCATTGTGGAGCCCGACGCCTGTGGTCGACTGGTGATTTCCAGTATGGTTCTCAGCAGGATGTCCAGCAGACTGGCCACTATCACATCGATTTCCTCCAACACAGATTTTTCCTTAAGAGAAAAAAAACAACAACAACCACTGTGTTCAGGAAATGGCTACTTAATATGTATATTAATCTCTTTTTAAGAAAGGAGGAAAAACCCCATTTCCAAATATAGGGTCAAAAGTCAGGGAACTCAAGAGCTTGACAAACCCAATCTCACTTAATGTCGTCTATGTTAGTAACTAGATACAGAAAAGAAAGGGACGGACAAGTTAACAGCTTACCCAACAGTGAACAACTTAGTTGTGCAATGGGCACCTGAGATACAAACATAAAAAGTGGGGCAATGTCCTGCAAAGCACACCAGAATGATCCAGAGCACCAGGTATGCTGCTATCATGGTGTGTCACCTTGGGGAACTCAGTTTATCTTTACGGACCTACTTCCTCATTGAAAGCACCTCTGGGTGTTATGAGTCTTTAATTTTTAATGGTGCTTACATCTATTATTCTCATCAATGGAGTGGCACAGGTCATTTTCCAAAATCTTATTTTAAGTATGAAAGCCTAGTCCTATAAAAAATTATTTTTTAAAAATCTACACATGTGAAAATTAAGACTAGACAAATGTCATTAGCTATAGTCCAGATATAATACTAGTAGCCATGGTGCAGATAGCTTTCCCCAAAGCAAAATTACTAATATACACACCTCCCAGGACTTGAGAAACGCAAATTATTCTGTATTGATTGCATGAAGTAGATTTGGGGTATTACACCTGTACAAGATGAAACTCTATAGAAATGTTCCCTACCAAAGAGTGACTTTGTAAATAAAACATTTAGAAGTATTGGTTTCAACGAGCTTTTTGGCTAGTCTTTTATGGTAAATTTTCTTATACTTGCAAGAAAACTACCAAAGTTCCCCCCATCAGATAAGTGTAAAAAATGACTGCAATGCCAAAGTGAAATAAATAGGAAAATTTTTTAAAAATCACCTCCGCTACCACTGATAATTATTTTCAATTTTCTGCAATGAACTATCAAACTTAATTTATATTCTCAGCAATTCCAGTTTGCAAAAACATTCTAACTAGGCAAGGCACAGCTATTCTTTATTGAATTATACACAGGGAGTTTTGAAGTAAAACTAATGACTTCTTCTGTCACTACTCCACCCAGTCCTGGATGACCCTATGTCCTAAGTTCATGGGGTACATAAAAATCAACTGTCCTCCTCTCCCCATGTAGATTTCTCTTATTACACTTTCTTCTGGTCATTTTCTCTCAAGTGCCAATTCCATGCACACAGCACTGAGAACCTATCACTACCATTTTCCCCAGGGTCCCAGGAGAGCTCACTATTGAGTCCTTCAGGAGGTGATCATAATTACTACAAAAATGGGGAAACTTCAGCTTAGTAGTAATAGGGGGGGCAGAAAACCAGGCATCTCAGCAGTTGCTACCCAACTCTGCTTTGCAAAAGCTGTTTCAGGGCCTCCCCGGTGGCGCAGCGGTTGAGCGCTGGGTTGCGAAGCTGCCCGCAACCTCTGCAGCGCCGGTTTGATCCCCGGCTGCTCCCCTGCCACCGGAGGAGGGTCCCACATGGTGTGCAGACCTCTCCTGCCGCCCGCTGCTCCCCTCAGCAGTGTACTTCGGTCCTTCTGCCTGCTCTGCTCCCCACTCTGGCTCTGGTGAATTCTCTCACCCTCCCACGCTTCTGACTGTACCCAGTGCATGTATAAACAAAACAAACAAACAAACAAACAAATAAATAAATAAAACATGCCTCTATAAAAAAAAAAAAAAACAAAAAAAACAAATATCTGTTAAAAAAAAAAAAAAAGCTGTTTCAGATGAGTATAATGCTCAATTAACAGCTGCAGACTGACAGAACTGAAACTGGACATCCTTCATATATTCATTTCACATCAGACCTCCCTGGACCATGAACATGAATACTCAGAGCTGGGGACTTACAAGCAAGCATGTGATTTTCCTCTATTTTCACTGCAGCCTCTAATGCAATTATATTGCATCCAGAGTCAGGAACATTGACAAGAATTCCCAAAGCCATAACAACTCAGTGATTACTGTTGGGGCTGAATTATGGTTGTTGCGAAGATTCTCCAGTCTCCTGGGGCCTTCCTCTGCTTCCACAATCTCCGCAGGCCCAGGCCCAAAGGGCATGGCCAAGCTCTGAGCATCATCATGCAACCTTTCACAGAGTGGGCCAAAAAATACTTCACTTTGCAAGCAGTAATTTATTCTTACCACAGAGCATTCATCATATCAAGATTAAAGACACATGTGGGAGGCTTTGAGATTTCTAATTTTTCTTGCTGGGTATTCAGTTCTTTCTTGAAATACAAGTTTAGGAAACCCAGGTTATTTAGGGTTATAGCAATCCCACAAGGTTCAAAAAATTCCTCCTAAAGAAAAGCAAAAAGTCCAACCCAGCTGGGGTAACTCCTCAGTGAGGTTTCTTTGAGGACTTCTAAAATTTTGTTTCCAGATGCCATTTGATGGGAACTACATGCCATGACCCGTATTTACTTACTGAGCTATTTTTCTTGATGAGGCAAAATACGTTGCTAAGGATACGTGCGCACATGATCAGGTCCTTCTGTTCTTGCAAGTGCATGTGCAGGTGATGTAACACGACAGGCAGGAGGATGTACCGGGAATCTGGAGAGAGAAGCATTAGTGTCACATCTGTAGAGTCCCATGCAAACCGCCTTATCTACTTTACAATCTATTTTTAATAGTGAAATTATTAGCACATGCAGTTAAAAAGGTATTAATTCTCCAAGGTCAATTCTGAGAAACAACCATTCCTTTCCCTAAGTCATGATTCCTGCACTTAGGAGGTCTTTGCTCTTTTCTTGAAATAGGTTTCTGCTGTTGCTGGTGCTTGTGTTACTTTTCTATTTCTGGAATTCTCCATGGTGTGCTTCTCTGGCTATTTCCTGATTTTTCATTACGATCTATCCTTTACTAACTACCTCCTATGGTAGATGAGGATTTAGTTTCTTTACTCCCTTCTTCCCAACCTCTCAAAATATTTATAATTTCAGGGGACAGCAGCATTATAGTTTGGCTGCCATTCTCATTTCCAACACTGGTGCCATTCTGATTTCCAAACCATTGTATATGACCAGATTTTGTTTTTGTTCTTTCTCTCTGAAAACTTAAAAATATTTCTGGTAATTCAAAATTTCATTTCCTTTAAATCTAGAAACTTGCATCCTTCAGCTCTGGGAATTTACCTTGAACTAGCCTTCTAGATTATCCCAACCTCCCGCCCCCCTTTTGTTTTTGGTCTCTCTGGAATGTTGACTACTTTCACATCATTGTCCTCTAATCTTCTCAAATATTTTAAAATATTTTTGTCCAACTTCCTAGGAAATTTCCTTCATCGTGCAGATAAAGATATCCACTTACTCAATTTTCTTATTAATGTATCATAAGTTCAATTTCTAGGAGTTTTTTACTTGCAAGGCCATTTTCAAGGGTGTGTAACCTGTATATTCATGCAGATTACTGTGTTCAGAAGGGTCTCATGAGTGATTTAATGTTCTTGTTACCATCATGATAACTCTTAATAATTTTCAAACAAGAGGTGTTACATTTTCATTATGCAGCCATTCAGTTTATTTCTTTGAATTATCTCTTTTTATAGCTTCCTGTTCTTTTTTCATAGGTGCTGTAACTTGTCTCTCTGGAGAAATCAGAGACTATCCTTTGATTTTTTTTTTCTCCCTGAATTACCTTTGTCTTTCAATTTCTCATCTTTTGTTTCTTCATAGTGGCCTCTGCCTTTCATTTTAGAGGGTTTTTTTTCCAGTTTCTTGTAATCTTTCATTGCCGATTCCTATTTCGAAGTGAAACACTAAAAACACTAAGTGAAAAAGAAACCATAATGTGACCAGGCAAGTTTGTGGACAGCTGAAGCATCTCAGCAGGAAGGGGAGGCATCCAGATATTTAATAGAGGAGGCCCAAATTTCAGAATCTGAGGTGTCATCTCTAGTGCTGGTCAGAGGAAGCTACCAATCTCTTCTCTGGGGAGCATGAACCTATCATCTCTTCGTAATTTGAAATAATGGAAAAAGTGGTTGGTGAGGATGTCTTTGCTTAATTGTGAGGCTCTGTTTACATGGTAGAGTTGGATCCCCCAATTTAGCAGTTTCTGATTCTCCTGAATCAAAGACACATCTTACTCACCTCCCAGAAAGAGTAAACTTTCCTCTTTTTTTTTTTTTCTGAAATGAAAGAGAGATTGGGGCCAGGTGGGGTAGTGTGCTAACTATTCCTTCTACAGAATTTTAACCAATTTTCATATTTCTAGCACCCTTAGTCTTCAGAGAGACCTAGTAATTTAAATTCTTGATTTTTTCTGAAGCCACCCTGAGTTGTCTGCAATTCTATAGTATAAAGTATTTATAGTTATATGTGATTACAGCTATAGCTATAGTTCCATGGCTCTACATGCCTACCAATTCCACATGCCTACCTATTTCAACCTTCTCTTGTCTGCTGTTCATTGCCATGTATCCTTGTAAAATCCATTTATGTCTCTTCTGTGTTGTCATCTCTCCCAATCTCCTAAACTTATGAGGTTATACCTTTTTAAAATTCTTTCACTGACCATAGATACAAAACCCCTTTTAAAATTTTAGGAAATGAATTCCATCAGTATATGAAACAAGTATTACTTCATGATCAGATAATATTTACTCTAAAAACAAGGGTTGTTCATAGAGGGGAAAGCAATCCTATGACATAGGATCTCACTTGGTGAAGCCAACAGACCAAAACGTCAGATTTCACAAGGGTGATCCCAGCTCCCTTTGTGGATTTATAAATAACAAACCTGAATATTAGAAGAAAGTCTGATTTATTCCACCAAGGTCAAGATCTAAAATATTTAGAGAATTTTACCAAACAAGAGGATTTGTGCCTAAAAAGTGGCTCCAGTTTTTAATGCTAGTCTCTCAGCAAATTTTGTTCAGTATGCCTAAACTATTCAAATTTAATTGTATTACAATCCTTTTAAAATTTCTAGTCCATGTGTACTTCATGTGTAACTTTTTAACCAGAAGACAGAACAACTTATTGCTGGATCATGTTTTTTTGCAAATAAAAATACTGATATTCAAAAATAAATAAAAACAAGGGTTATATAACAAGTGAAAATCATAGTAGTATACTTTCGCCGGGGTAGAAAGATAAATATAGTCAATTCTTGCTATTCATGGAAGTTAAGTTCTGTATAGATGCTGGAAACAATTGAACTGAGAATATTAACTCTTCTAGGAAACTATATGGATACACATGTACATATCTGACATAGATCATATACTCTTAAATCCTGAAAACAACTCATCCAGGAAGATCTTATTTCTTTATTCTATAAACAAGGATATAAAGTTCAGAAGTATTAAGTGACTTGCCTGAAGTCATCCCACTAACAAGTCTAAGCTGGGATTCTAACCCTATTAACTGGCTCCAGACCAGAGCTCCTTGCACTATACTGCCCCCTACTGCCTGCATCTTATATGAAAATGGAAATGGAGACAGAGCAAGGCCTCGTTAACCTTGACTGGGAAGGCGTAAATTCTGCATCTCAAATTTTGCACTACTCTGTGTATATCTAAAAATGATGATGAAAGTGCCACAAGTACTGCTTTTGGAGTTACAAATAAATTTTAGCAAGTAAGTGAATCTGCGCATGTAGTTGACCACTCACATCAGCTGTAAGTCTTACATAGATTTGAAATGATAAGGTGATAAGTGAAAAACGGACCTATTCATTATAAATTTCAATCTTTAAAAAGTAACAGTAAATGTTTATTTTTTAACAAGTTGTCAAGGGCACAAAATTATTGTCTATTATATGCCCACCACAGACATATTATTTCTGGGCATGCCCACTTTTAAATGCACTAGTCCCTTTACCTGCTTTGCTTGGTTTTATAAAAGAAAGTCACCTGTGCGACAATTAGATGAATTATTCTTGGTTAATAAAAATTCATGTCTTATAGTTTGAAAAATTACAATGCCACTTGACTCAAGAAAAAAGTAGTATTAGTAGCTCTATAGATATTAAAGAAATTGAACTTTTAGTTAAGAACCCACAAGGAAAATTCCAGGCCCAAGTGGCTTCTATGGATTTTATAAAGACTTTAGAAAGAAATCATATCAAGGCTATACAAATTCTCCTAGAAAACAGAATATACAGGTTATTCAACTAACTCATTTTTTGAGGCTAGCATTTCATATGTTAAAATTAGTGAAGGACATTATAAGACAACTGTAGCCTAATATCCCTTATGAACATAGATGCAAAAACACTAGAAAATTTAGCAAATACAGTATATACATATATAATATTATATATAATATACAAAATAGGGTTCATCCTGGGAATGCAAAGTTGGTTTAACATTTGAAAGTCAATCTATCCATTCACTGCTAAAACTTTTCAAAGAGCTAAAAAGGTAATTTCCTCAAATTGATAAAGGGCATTAATTAATGAAATACTTTCCTTTAGCTACCATGATACTTAATAGTGAAAGATTAAATGCTATGCTTCTCCTTAAGATAAAAAAAAATTGTCAAGGCCTCCCTGGTGGTGCAGGGGGTTGGGCACAGCACTATGGAGCAATCCGAAGCCTCTGCAGCACAAGTTCGATCCCCGGCCGGCCAGGGAGCAACCCACATGGAGCAGCAGACCTCTCCTGTCTTGCCCACTGCTCCCTCAGCAGTGTATTTCAGTCAATCTGACAGTTCTGCTCCCCACTCTGTCTCTGGTGAATCCTCTCACCCCCCATACCTCTGGCCTGTACCCCAGCTCTTGTATGCATAAATAGATGAATCTTAAAAAAAAAAAATGGCAATTTCACCAATTCAATTAACACTGTACTGGATTCCATGAAGTGTTATAAAGCTTATTCATGGAAAAGAATACATGATTCTGCATCCTAATTAAAAAGTCATAAGTAATTCACAACTAGGAAAGGGGCTTTATCAGTGTTTGTCTTACTTCTCTTATTGTCTTTTATTTATTTACTTTTTTTTAGGAGTGAGGTTTGGAGTCTTGTATTTCCTTTAATGCCTGCCAGAGATTTACCAACAACACAAGAAGGGCTGGTCTTAGGTTTACATCAAAACAAACCACATAGGCATAGTCATTCTTAACTTTAAGACAAAGAACACAGAATATTAAAACCTAAACTTTTGAAATAATTCCTTGCAGGTTTCCTTTAAATAGTAAACCTGGCCAGAGTACTTATGTGATTATTTTAAATCAATTGACAAAAAGAACCAAGAAATAGAAACTAAAAGCTTAGATGACTGGAGTCACTACCTAGTGATGTTTAATTATTAAGAAGATAGTTTATTGGATATGTATTTGACTTTTAAAAAATTCAATTTGTAAACAAACAACTTAAAAAATAATGCAAAAAAGGTAAAATAAAATTGGTGCAGTATGTAGAAAAAGAATTATATGATTATCTAGTCTGCAGATTTGCCTTTTCTTCATTATCAACAATGTCAGCCAATGCAAATGATAGAATTGGTGGGTGATTGCCAAACAAGCTGACTGGTTAAAATGCTAATTCTTACCTTTAAAAGAAAATACCTGGACTCATTAAGTAAGTTCAAAGAAACAGAAAACCCACA